ACAAACAGCAGCACCGCACAGGACTATCAGCATCACCGGACCTACCACATACTGACATGCCTGCTTTTATCCTACACTTGTGAGTGTGTTTTTATTATTAAATCAGCCTGCTTTTTAACAGTCGACACTTAGAGTGGCGCTACTGTTTTCTCTTCTTTCCTATCTGTGAACTAGATTTACTTCAAGCTCTGACAGCTGGCTGCCACCACCTTCAAGACATATATTCATTTACCTACAGTCTTCCACTCAGGACAGTGTTGGATCACATTCCTGAAAGCCCCTATCCACATATATGGACATCTATAAAATCTCCACTTATAGGCCATCCCTAATCCCCCATCTCATTTTGGGTTTATGTTCCAGCGCTCCCAATCTCCCTCTACCCAATCTTGTATCTTGCCCAGGGAGTTTGTTCTGCATCTACTGATGCTGATTTGGCTTAAAGGTCCTTTTACCTATGAAGGCGGTATGATTTTTGTTGGAGTCTACCATGTTCTTTGGGTGTCCTGTATCCTGAAAGTCTCACCCTGAGTTTATGGTGGCAAAAAGGCTCTACATTTTGACTTTAAAGTGATTGGTGCTTATCTGTTTACAACACCATTATAAGTCAAGGACTCTACTTTGAGGTGAAATGTGAGCCCACCTTACCGCTGCAGGTCCATACTCGCCTCTAGTGGGCAAGGGGGTAGTATATATACAGTATATATATATTGTATATAGTTATAACTTCTGCATTCACACAAAAAATAGTTGCAGGTCAAGCAGTTACTCATCAGCCAATCCAGTTTTTTTCATTATATTAACAGGAGCATTTAGGATTACCTCTTAAATTAACATTGACTTGTAATATTTCGTTTGGTATTTCTGCTATGTTGGCAGTTTTCAAAGAAAAAAAAGGGAAAACAGAAAATATCATCTGTTTGAAAAAGCATGCAGCTTTATTTTCAAGGAAATGGGATACCTGTGGATTGATCTTACGTTATGATGTAAAGCTTGAAACAGAATTGTTAACATATGTCCATTGCACCAGTAAAGATAGGAAGAATATTATACAAAAATGATTTCATGAATCCACATTGTGGTAATAATATTTGCTTGCCTAGCCTGGGGAAGTAGTTATTGTTCTTATCGATGTGGAATAAATTGACCCATCCCTACTGAGATAAAAAAGGGATGAAATGATTAAGTTCCCACGCTGACAATTCTATTCGACCTTCCAAATAATATATGTACTCACACACAGAGAAGTTGTTCTCCTAATGGACATATAAATAAGCCTTTTTTCCTGTTCAGTGCTTTCTGAAGGTCCACAATGTTAACCATCTCTGTGCTGTGCTATGTACAATCAGGCAAACCCAATATTACTGCAGGCTACCTTTAACTATAATAAACCACTTTTACTTTATCGCTTCTTGTCTGTTATATTTGAATTGCAGATAACTATGCAAACAACATATTGAACATAAATAACAGTTTAATTACGTTCACATTTTCTGTTCAATGTATTTCAACTACCTCTTTTAAATGTAAAATTTGAAATATAATTAATTTATTAATACCAGTTCTTGGACTAACTATAATATGTCAGGATGCTTTAAAGTGGGGCCATAGTTCATAGCTGATTCGAGGCTACAGTCAAACAAGCCTCTGAGGTCCTCCCCCAGCTATTGCTATGAAAATATAGCTGAGATGGCTTGAAAGTACCCATTTTATTAGAACTGCCAAAGCTTAAAGCCCTCAGAAATTAATTTACTAAATCTACAGAGTAGGCAGGTTTAGACTGCAGTATGTCCACCTACCTGAAAGTGGCACTGTGCTATTTCTTCAGGCTGAAAATTGATGACTAATTGTCCCCTGCTATGGGCTCCAGGCAGCCATCTTGTGGAGGATGACAAATCCTATTGGATACCGAAATTTAGTGAGATTTGGGCGGCCATTTGGACTCAGAATTTCATAAATAGGAGATTCTGCATCATTTGGTTTACCTGATGTGTGGGAGTAAGATAAAGACAGAGGCTTCATTGGTTAGGGAGAGAGTAGGACAAGTGAAAGAAAGAGGTACGTGCCAAGAAGGGAAAGAGTAGGTTTCCCCTTTCAGGGTGTCTCCTCTGTCAGCTTCCTTGAACAGTCTCACATGGGCAGCCAATATCCTAGCCTTCTCTAAGGCAAATGCTCCTCAGGCATTATCTGGTCTATACATGCATGTTATCTTAGAAAGGTATTATTGGAAAGTACCTTGTGGGTAACCAGTGCCCTTTTCTGCCTGAAGAAGTATATAACCTGCAACACATGTGGTGCCTTTGCTGCAAATTGCCTTATTCATGTGAACGCTTAATTTCTACAATATAAACAAAGTTTAGGTATGTGTTTACTTCACATGTGTTTATTCAATTGTTAGGTACACTGGTAGGCCCCACCTACCGCAGCCCAAGACAGGAAATTAATAAAGCAAAATGATAGCTGGACAAAGTTGTGTTGTGGGTGAGTCTGCTATTATTTTCTATGGTAGGGTCTAGTGCACTGGGCATTCACTGCGTCAAAACTGGTGCTGACTTACTGATATTACTGCTCATTTATGTTGACAAACCAAACACTGCAGTCTATGAAAAGAAGTGAGACACACAGTTGGCAGCCTGTAAACAATGATCATATTGTGTACAGGCAGTTTATTCTGAGTTTTCATTTACTTTAGTGGATTTTAACAAAATGCAGAACAATGTTAAGCAGCACAAATGTTCTTTTTTTTTGCATGCACTGTAGAGAACATTATTACAATGGTTTACCTGTTAAGAGCTTCACATTAGAGGTCTTTAATCCACCCCCTTCTGCTTCTTTACAAAGGGTTTATTACTAGAATAAAATGTGAATTTGATGGCTGATTATATTACCCAGTTGTGCAAAAAAAAAAATGTGATCACATTTGGCACGAGTGCTACGTGGCTTAGTGTCTAACTTGTATTTGTAAGAATATTTCCCTCTCCATTATGTACTCCTAACTTGTAGTCTTTTTCAGAGCACCACTTTGGTTCTGGTCTTCCTTATATGCTATTTTTTTCTGCTTATATTTAAAAAAGGAAAATTGATGACTGAAAAACATGTCTACGTCAGTTCCAGTCAATGTTTTAAAAAATTATTCACGTGGTCCTAATACACCAACATTATTTTTGGAGCCATAAACCAAAGTGATTTTATTTTCATTTTTTTGTAAAAAGAGAAAAATAAACCAATGAGATGACAGACAGCTATGAAAATTAGATACCTCTAGACTCACATATTCAGTTAAATTTATGAAACTTTCTAAATACAAAGTTGATGCTTCACAAGTTCAGTAGATGGTGCACATAGTAATGAACAGAGTGTCAATCTCACACCCACATGCCATTTCTTTTCTATTCAATGCAATTTAAAAGAAAGACAGCTTGTCAAACTCATAATCTAAAATAATGGCTGAAAATGACATGCCATAAAAAAAGCACTTAATAGATTGAGTGCTGCAACAAATCGCAGAGTGCACAAAAGGAATTTAATGTAAAGGAAATAGAGCTTAAAGAGAAACAGTTTTGAGTGGACCTATGTGTTATCTTAATATTCTGTATCAAATTATTGCAAGGTATTTTTATTGTGCATGATTGTTGTGTGCCATATATATATATATATATATATATATATATATATATATATATAGTAGAAATATAGGGGGTCTAATAATGAATGTTCTTGTAAACATATATACAGTACTGTCATTTCTCCTAAAAGAGCTTTTAATACACGTTGCTCTTTCTTGTACTCAGGAAATGTGGTTTGAAGTTTGTGCCTGTGACATAAGCATCTGGCCAGCTATCTTCCTCTTTCAAGGTTAAGAAAAGCATTTTTTGGTAAAACCAGTTTGAACCAGCAACTGTCATGGCGGATGACCACAAGTCTCTATTTTGTACTAGTCATATGATGTTAACATCCATTTAACTCTGAGCTTGCTGTTAAGCATATAAGGATTTGATTGGACTAAAACTATACAAACAGGGGCAGACTGACAACTCATGGGGCCCCCGGGCAATAGGGGATCATGGGGCCCCTGTGTCCTTGCCCAAACTCAAAAAAGCCTATGAAAAAGGTACCAGGGGCATTTAATGGGGCCCCCTACTGACCTCAGGCCCTCGGGCAGTGCCCGAGTTTCCAAATGGTCAGTCCGACCCTGTATACAAACACGCCTGGACCTTATATGAACACGCCCGGACTTTATGACTATATATGTATCAGTTTAAGGTTTAAGAGTTCAGATATATATTAACTACCTAGGTCCATCTCATATGAGGTGAACTTCTGTATGCTATATTATCTCCACTGCAGTGTAATAAATGCACCTTTCTTTATCAATTTGGACTTGCTATCTCATCTGAAAGGTCTTGTTTGTGGACCCCCAAACCTGACTTGACAATATATATTATACACATTAACCACTAGCCTACAGGGCACTTATACCCCCTTCCTGCCCAGGGCAATTTCCAGCTTTCAGCGCTGTTGCACTTTGAATGACAATTGCGCGGTCATGCAACACTGTACCCATATGAAATTTTTATCATTTTTTTGTGACAGATAGAGCTTTATTTTGGTGGTATCTAATCACCTCTGGGTTTTTTAATTTTTTCTTAAGCAAACCAAAAACCACTGAAAATTTTGAAAAAAAAAAAGTTTTTTCTTAGTTATTGTTATAAAATTTTGGAGATAAGTGATTTTTCTCTTTCACTGATGTGCGCTAATGAGGCTGCAGTGATGGGCACTGATAGCCTGCACTGATGGATACTGATAGGTGGCACTGATGGGCACTGATGAGGAGGCACTGGTAGGTGGCACTGATGGGCATTGACAGGCATGACTGATGGGCACTGAAAAGCAGCACTCATATATGGCACTGATAGGCGGCACTGATAGGTGCACTGATAGGCGACACTGACTGGCACTGATAAGCGGCTCTGACTAGCACTGTTAGGTGGCACTGGCTGGCACTGATAGGCAGCACTGATGCACACTGATAGGCAGCACTGACTGGCATTGATAGGTGGCACTGACTGGCACTGATCGGTGACACTGAAAGGCAGCTCAGATGGGCACTGACATGTGGCATTGATGTAGCACTGATGGGCACTGAAATGTGGCACTGATGTGGCACTGATGGACACTGGCAGGTGGCATTGATGAGCACTGAGAGCTGGCACTGATGGACACTGACAGATGGCGCTGCTGGGGCTACACAGGTCATCAGGGCACACTGATCATCAGTGCTCTGATGATCTGTGTACATGTCCCCTCCGAAGAATGCCGATTACCGGCTTTCCTCTCCTCACGAGCTGTCAGCAGTTTACATGTGATCAGTTGTGATTGGACACAGCTGATCACATGACTGAGCTGACATCTTCGGCTCTTTCTGTGGATCGGTGATCAGCTGTGTCCGAGGGACACAGCACACCGCCGATCGCCACACTGCACGCTCCGGGAGCCACGCATGCGCGGTTCGAATGGGAGGACGAGAGAACCACCTTGGGTCCGTCATATTACTATATGGCGGGTGGGAGGCGTTTAAAAACAAGCAGTTGCAGCAAAGATAGACAAAATTTATTGTTCAATAAGAGTAAAAAAGCAGTACAGCAATGTTTCAGCCCTTTTTCAAGCTAAATACATTCATTTACACATCAATCTCTATAGTATAAAAATCGAAGATGATATCCAACGTGCTCAGCTGGAACTGGCAGTCAAACACCAATAAACAATTTTCATTGGATAATACCATACAAATCACAAACAGTAGATGTGACTTTTAATTCACATATTCTGGTGTTCCATGATTGATAAAAACAGTCTCATATAAAAACTGGAAAAGGTTCCAAAATATTAGGTTCATGAAAAGAGAAACAAACCAAACTCATGGTTTAGGCTACAAAGAATCAAAGTATCCAGCTCATGTATCCAGTAAACCTCCCTCGGTATCAAAGAGGTAAAATGATCCCCACCTTGCCTAGGTCAATGATCATAAACCAAAGGTATTATCTTTATGTATCTTTATGCCCTGCGTACATAGGATATGTATGGACTAGAAGCTCTGCCTGTTTTGTTTTACTAGAACACCTATGTTGGGATGTTCTATTGCTACTTTTTGGGTTGTCTCCCCAACGAATAACAACTTGCACAGACAACTTAGTAAATACACTGTATGTGTGTTCTGGCAAATGTGATAGTGTCTAATCTTGAAGCTTCTAGTGCGATCAGAATTACAGAAGATATTACCCTTAATTAAATTACTCCATTCAGATAACAATGAGCAAGGTGATCATCCATTTCTCATCAGTCCTAAAAAGATGTGAGAGGCATCATGGCCTATCTGTTCAGCATTCCTAATCATGGGATTGTGTTTAAAAGTTTGTACAAGCATACATATCCTTCTGGATAAGGATATACAGAGCGAGGAGAAGAAAAGAAAAAAAAATAGGTGGGGAAATCCCATAGATGCAGGCGTTAGTCAACTAGGAGATTATAAATTGGCTAAACTTGCTGGACATAGTGTGGGGAAAGCATAAGATAACCAGGGTTCCCATATTTTTAGGAATTCAGAGTGGGAGTAATGAAAAATGCTGGACATCTTTTCATTGATCATCATGGTGTTCAGACTTTCTTTCACTGCTGCAAATGAGACTGTGGGTTTCTTCCAGGCCTTGGCTTGTTGTAGTTGTTGGAAAATATCACCGTCATAATGTGAGGTACCTGTAACAATGATTGACCTGTCCAGATTCACTATAATTTCATATTTGTCACATATCATTGGCATATTCTTCAGACAGCATATCCTAATACAGAAGAATTCCAGAATATGCCTGTACAAGCATTTAAACACAATCCAGCAATTAGGGATTGGGTGATATGTGCTGAACAGGCAGGTTGTGACGCCTGCCTTATACATCCTTTTAGGACAGATGATAAAAGAATCATTCCCTTGCTTATCTTGCTCTGAATACGATGATTTGAGTAAGGGTTATGCCTTCTGTAATTTTGGTGGCATTAGAAGTTTCAAGATTAGACTCTGTTTCACTTTTTTAGAGGACAAGGATTGTCAATATATTTGCCAAGTCTGTGTAAGTTGTTATATGTTGGGGAGACAACCCTAAAACTAGGGACAGAATATCCCAACATAGATCCTATATTAAAACAAAGCAGACAGAACTTATAGTCCCAGACATTTTGTGGAAGCAGGGCATAAGGACACAGACCTTCTGTTTATGACCATTGATCAAGACCTAGGTGAAGTGAGGATGATATTACCTCTTTGAAATAGAGGGAGATTTACTGGATTCCTGGAATTTCCTCATGGCCTAAACCATGACTTTCATTTGTTTTTTTTTTAACTTAATGTTTTGTATCTTATTCCAGATCTCTTTTCAGATCTTTTTTTATCAGTCAAGGCACCCTAGCATATGTGAATATATAACACCAATTGATTGTGCTATTATCCATTGAAAACTGAAAAAATGCACGATTGCCTGAAATGTAAATTTCCAAAATGACACAAGTTTTTCATAGGAACATTGCTTTCACATGCTATTGCTAATTTAAGCTTCTGTTTAACCAGGTATGTTGTTCTGTAAAACAGTAGGACAACAAATAGTATGGGTGTTTTTGTGCCTAGCACTAGCAGAGTTTACACATCTTCAGCTGTTATGTTGTTTAGAGAAGCTCTGGTTAAATATACTGGACCCAAGCTTAAAACATGGCCATAGACAGATCGAAATTTGGCCAGTCCAGTAGGAATGGACAAATTTCAATCTATGTATGGGCAGACTGGGTATATTGAAGTCAATCTATCAATCGACTTCAGTACAACAAACCTGTCATTTTTTTTGTTCAATCATGGCAATACCAACAAGGAGTGATCTGTGTATTCTGACAACTGGGAAACCTGCTGCTGTCAGAATACAATAGCTCCTTGGGAGGGATTTCAGTGTTGATGGGGAAATTGAGCAGTTTTCTTTCCTTTAACCCATGGTTAAACTGAAGAAAATTAGCTAATGTATGGTCTGCCACTTTTCACTTTTGCAGCCAAATTGGGATAACACCCACTGTATATTTGTTACATGCCCCCATTACCTTAGCATAACTTAAAAAGAAAAATGCAGCCTACTTTTTTTATATATAAAATAAAAATATAGTTTTTTTTTTTGTTTATGATGGGGCTGGGCAGTGTGCCAAGCTACCTTGTCTGTACTGTGCAGGCATATCTTCATTATGAAATGTAACTAGATTTGAACACAGTTGTTCCTAACAAAGGGTTAAATGTGTAGAGCCTGTTCCTTTTGAAACATCTAAAAAGTAAGAAATATCTAAAAGATAATTTTTTTTTTTAAGCATGCTGCATGTACAGGAACACATAACAAACATATAGTGAGGTTTTCTCAAATTTGACTGCAAAAGTAACACTTCTATTTCATAGTAGCTGTGTCAATAGGAATCAAAATAATTTAACCATTTGACATAGTTGACCTATGCCATTAATGGTACTGGGATGCCATCTAGGATTTGTAGGCAGAAATGCAACCTTCACAGAACGTGCTGTATGACCAATTGGGAAGCGCTTCAAACCTATTAGATAAAAGGTCAGCACCCATAGCTTTAAATGAGAACTCTACTACAGAACAATAGAAATGTTTTAGAAAAAAGAGATAGACTGCAAAGATAAGGAACTCATTTTCCTGGATTGCATAATGCTGTTTGTTATGAAAACTGAGGACCTTCTTTAGTGGAAGCTAAATAATTTTTAGTGTATCCTCATTGCATACAGACTATTGAGATTGTTTATTTACTGGGAAAGAACAGAAAAGAACAGATAGCATGTGTGTGTGTGCAAATTTGTATCCTGTACGTATTGTTTTTTCTTTTCCATGTAACTGTAAGTGTAGTTTTTTCTATATGCATTAATCTTGTTTAGTAATTTCACATTAATACTGTATACTACTTAGTCTTGCATTAGGACAGCCCATTTAAAATGAATAGATTGTCAATGCACCTAAACATGCAGAAAATGCACACACCCTTTTTTCAAATGCAATGCACCCCAACACACTATACTGCATTGCAACATTGCCTTATCGTGCTGGGGTGCCAATCAAAATGTTTTCCATTGATTTTTACCTTTTCACAAAAAGACAAAATGTAAAGTTCACAATTCTGAAATATTTGTTATTTATTAACACAGTTTTATCTTTTAGATTTAGTAAGAATTTTGGAAGTTCTACGTATTTGTGTGTGCCAATAATGACTTTAGTGTTTTTAAATTAAAATATAGATTTCAGAAACATTTGTGCAACTATCATGAAACATAAAAAAACAGTAACATCATGTTAAATCCACAGGCCCTGGACTTTCAGAAATTATATGGTTTGGGGAATCTTGTACTACCCTTCTAACCTGTAGGTGGTAAATAGTAGAAATGAAAGAAAAAGTGAAAAATAGCAAAATTTGTCTGGCCACCTGAGGTGAAAAATGGCAGGGCCTGGTAGCAAAAGGTTCAAGTTTCCCTGTCAAAGCTAAAATCTCCAAAAAAACTAATATCTATAAAGAAGAAAAAAATATACTTACCTCTTCTACCGTCCATACTACCGAACCCTATTCTGCTGCTAGGAGTTCCTCCACTGAAGTCTTCTGTAGGAACCTACACTTCTGTTTCCACGCCACTCTAAGCTGTTCCTCCTTTTGACCTTCATGTCACTACAGGCCAGGTTTCTGCTAAAGACTTCAGTGGAGGATTTCTCTGGATCAAAGTAATGATCAGAAGCATATGCAGCAGAAGAAGCGAGGATATGCTTTTCCCCTTTATAGATGCTAGTTTTATTTTTTTCTTTCTAAACATGGTCACTTTAACATTATTATGCACCCTTAGGATCTAAGAATCAGTGTAACCTTACACAGAAAAGCCTTGTATTCTATGGACCCTCCAAAAAATACAAGGCATTCTGTGAATGGATAAGAGGGGAGCATAGTCCCTATAATCCTTCATTCTAAGTTTATTTAAAACCTCATATGATAGAAATCTGTACAGTGCATTGCATATTCGTCTGATGTAAGAGGCTATTTAGTCATAAAATAGTGATATTGTATATTTACACATGCACTTAAGGGCCCTTGTGGTTGTCATATGTCCTGATCTACATGAAGAGATGCATTTGTGTCCATGAATAACTTCCTATGCCTTACCTTATTTATTATAAAGGAGACTGCATAATGTATTCTTTTAACTCCAAACAACTATGCATATAGTTTAAATTCTTGTATGTGATCTATCTTACCTTCAAAAAGACTTTTTAATTCTGTACAACAAATTGTGTGATCAGTGATCCATTATCAGACAGGAAGATCATGTTGTGACATCACTTTTCTGCAAATGCTCCTCCATGCTGCTGTTAGTAGGCATCCGCCATTCAATTGACAGCACTTTGTGTTCCTTCCACGTTCAGTCAAATTTCTGCC